AGGATGAAAATGTAAAAAACTGGACTTTTTACCTGTACTACAGCAGAGCCATCTGCAAATCTGGCCAGTTTTCCAGAAGATATTTCCAGTTTTCTGTTTAAAAAATAAAAATTTAATACAAAATAACTTAAGTTATCAGTATAATTCGCAGCTTAGTATAACAATCAAAGATTCTAATGAGCAAACTAAAGGTTACCAAACCCCACATGACCCCATCCAGCAAACAAAAAAGGGAGTTTATAATCATTATTAAAAGTACAAAGGGGAAAAAAAAGTACAAAGGGAATTTAAGAGCTGTGTAAGGAAAAATATAGAAACCAAGGCACAGGAGTAATCTGAATGAAAGTATTTTGGGGGGTTATAGAAGCTCTCATCTTAGATGCTAATTCCCATTCACTACCTTAGTTTAGTCTCTTTTCATTCCTTGCCTGTTGACTAAAGCAGTCTGGATCATTTCCCTACTTAAAATCCTTTAAAATTTCCCCATTGCTTTATACTCCAAAAATTGCTTACAGAGACCTTCAAATTTAACAGTGGTGCCAAAGACAAGTCAATGGGGGACTTGTCAATGGGGGAAAAGTCAATGGGGGAAAGAATAGTCTTTTCAACCAATGGGGCTGGACAACTGAATATCCATATGCAAAAATGTTAATAAAGTTGGACCCTTTCCTCATACTATGAATAAAAACTAATTCAAAACCTGAGTATGAAAGCTAAAACTATAAAATTTGTAAGAAAAATAATAGGAGTAAGTCTTCTTTTATAGGACATCAAAAGCACAAGCGACAAAAGAAAAAACAGATAAACTGAACATTAAAATTAAAAACTTTCATGCTTCATAGGATATCATCAAGAAAGTAAAAGAAAGGTGGGAGATGTTGATAACTGGGGAGACTATGCATGTGGAGGGCAGGGTGTAAATGGGAAATTTCTGTACTTTCCCTCAATTTTGCTGTCAAAGTAATACTGGTCTAAAAAATAAAATCTATTAAAAAAAAAAAAACAACGAAGAAAATCCACAGGGAAAATAACTGCAAATCATATATGTGATAAGGGACTTATAGCTAGGATATGTAAACAATTCTCACAACTCAACAATAAAAAGACAACCTAATTTTAAAAACTGGCATAGGATTTGAATAGATGTCTCTCCAAAGATTTACAAATGGCCAATAAGTGCATGACAATATGCTCAAAATCATTAGCCATCAGGGAAATGCAAATCAAAACCACAATGAGATATTACTTCACCACAATGAGATATTACTTCATATCTATTAAGATTATGTGTTTGTGAGGGTGTGGAGAAACTGGGAATCCTCATATACTGCTGATGAAAATGTAAAATGGTGCATCTGCTTTGGAAATAAATCTGGCAATTCCTCAAAAAGTTAAACATAGACATAGCATATGACCCAGCAACTCTACTCCTAGGTATATACCTAAGAGAAATGAAAACATATACCTATGCAAACATTTGCATATGAACATTCATAGCAGCATTATGCATAATAGCCTCAAAATGGAAACAGCCCAATTATCTATCAACTGATGAATGAATAAACAAAATGTGGTATAACCTATATAATGGAATATTATTCAGCCGTTAAAAAATGAAGTACTAATACATGTTACAATATGGATAAGCCTTGGAAACATTATGCTAAGTGAAAGAAGATAGTCACAAATGACCACATATCATTTGATTTCATTTATAGGAAATGCCCCGAATAGGGAAATTCATAGAGACAGAAAGTAGATTATTAATTGCCTAGGGCTGTGGGGTCTGAGAACAAATGGGAAATTACTGATAATGAATGAGAGATTTCTTTTTTTTAGTTAATGAAAGTGTTCTAAAATTGATTATGGTGATGGTCACAAATCTATATTAATACACTAAAAACCACTGAATTGTACATTCTAAATGGGTAAACTGTATGATATGTGAATTATATCTTGATAAAGCTATCTTATATATTGGGGTGTGTAAAAGTAGGTTTACAGTTGTAATACAAATAAATAATACAATAATTAATAAATAATAATGTAAGAATAAGCTGTTTCATGTACTCACAACTGTAAACCTACTTTGCCAACCTCTGTACATGAAATAGGCAGCACTGTCAGCCTTATTTTCCAGATTCTGCAGAGAGTACAAAAAGGGGTCACTGAGGGCTTGAAGGAGACCAGCAAAACTTATCAGAGCCCATAATTCATAAAAGTATTGTGAAGACAACCAACTCAGTGATTCCTGAGGATACTTAGGAAGATGTTCAGACCCATGAGCTCGGCTTCTATCATAGTCCAGTGCTGAAAATAAACACACACACACACACACACACACACACACACACACGCCAGTGCCCCACCCCAAGTAAGATTATTTTGTCCATCACATGTCAAAGGGATAGAGGGACAACCCTTAATATTTCCAACCATTCTTTTGCCAGAAGCCTGAGTTCATGAAAAGCATATTTACCTATTCAGTTAAGACTCATTTTGTTAAACTTGAAAGTCAGAATAAAGCATGTACATTGTACTATCAGCTCTGATCTTGAAATCTTACAGGGATTTTTTTTTTTTTTTTAACCACAAGAAATATCTGGGGAATAGTTGGGTTTCTATTGTTCAACACAGATGTTATGATGACAGCCCACAGTAAAATGGTGTCCCCTGACAGATGGAATGAATGATGAGGTGAAGAGATGAAGCTAGAGTTGGAATAGTCGGGGCAGGGGTGGCGGCGGGGGGAAGGAGGTGAGGGGGAAGTATGTGAATGAGATGCTCAGAACCAGTCACACTGTAGCATCAAGCAGACTCCCACCAACCTGTTGCTGAAATTAGTATTTTATGTATAAAACATCTCCAAATACTACATATAAGATGGACAACATATCAGTGGCTTCTGTGAATTAGACCTGGGTGGCTATATGGGAACTATATGGGAAGGAGATTTTTGAGCTTTTTAAATGTTGAACCATGTGAGTGAATACCTAATCAAAAAATACTTTTGAAGAAATAAATAATAAAAAGAGTAAGATGAGCAAGGCGATCCTTTTGGTGGAGAGAAGAGTGGGAAGATGTAGCAATGTAGCTCAGGAAGTGAGGAGTAGAGAGGAGCCACAGAAAGTGGAAATACAGCTAGAGAGATCTATAAGGCTCTTCCAGAAAAATTCAGTAATAAAAACTAAACAAGCAAACAAACCACCTTATGGTTTGGCCTCTGCCTATGTCATTTGCTAAACTCATATTTCACTTTTTGCTCCATCCACAGTAAGTTATTTGTAGCTACTCAAATGCACTTTCTCACCTCTGAAATGCACTTGCCACTTTCTCTGCTACTTTCTCCTTGCCCTTCAAGATTCACCCTCAATGGCAAGTTTTAGCATGTGATAAATATGCCTGTGCTCCCTTAGCACCTGTTCATACCTTTCCCACAGTGATTTTCCCAAGACTAAACCTGTGTTTATCATAGTTCCTCATACAAGAGCGCTGTATACAGTTGATAGTCAAAAAAGCTTATTGAAATGAAAATTAAACAGTTGCCTCAAAGGTTACTATGAGTATTAAATACATGTGAAATATACAATAATATAAAACCTCCTCAGGTATTGTAAATTCATATGATAACAAATATAAAGTTCATGGCCCAATGGCCCAGGCCAGTTGGTTCAGTTGGTTGGAACGTTGTCCCATACACTCACAGGTTCAATCCTTGGTTGTGGTGTGTGCTAGAGGCAACTGAACAGTGTTTCTCTTACATCAATGTTTCTCTTTCTCTCAAATCAATAAACATAACCTTGGGTGAGAATATTAAAAAATTCTACACACACACACATATATATATATTTATATAAAGTGCATGGTACATAGCAGTCACATACTATATGCTGCAAACAACAAACTTACAAAGATAAAAAAAATGTACTCACCCAGCAGTAATGATAATGATGAACCTACTTGTTACAACACATGATACAGGTTTAAAAAGAACTAGCTACAAAAGAGTTCCAGGTTGACAAATGATCCTTTATGGAAAATTTGGAGGGCAGGGGCTGATTTTGTTGCTTTGAGTTTGAGTGCTTAGCACATAATAGGTGTCTGTTGAATCTACTGTTCAGGGTCATTTCTTCAGAGAAGAATGTTCAATCCTTGAAGAATGGAAGAGATATCCTCACCCTCAAAAAATCAGGATCAAAGAATGCCAGAGGTGGAAGAGCCTTATAGATCATCTAGTGCAGAGGTCAACAAACTATAGCCTGTTTCTGTATAGTCTTTTAGCTAGGAATGTGCTTTTACATTTTTGAAGGGTTTGTAAACATACCCTTTCTCTCTCTCACGAATATGTGACAGACAGTATGCAGCCCACAAAGTCTAAAATAATTACTATCTGTTTCCTTACAGAAAAAGTTTACAGACTCCTGATCTAGCCCAGTCTCTTCGTTTTGTGAAATAAGAAAGTGGTGAAGTAATTTGTTCAAGATCAGTCATTCAAAAGTTACGGAGGAAGGCCTGGATTCAAAGTCATATGTTCTGGCTTTTTATATGAACTAGGGGAAAAAAATTTTTTAAAGTACATGTAAAAAATGTGTGTGTGTGTATACATATGTGTGTGCATACATGTATATCTATATGTATAAACAGCAGTTCCATTTATTTAAAAAATTATTCAAATACAATTTTTAAAAAGTGATTTTAGATGTCAATTCTGGCAAAAGGATCCCTGGAAAAAGTAGGGGCTTTGTAACAGAAATACAAGTTCAAAATCCACTTAGTCTCATAGTACTAGCTTTGTTGAGCATTTCTGAATCTCTGTTTTCTTAACTATAAAAATGGGTGTAATAGTACCTTTACTACAGGTTTAAAAAGAGTGTAGCATATAACTGGTGTTCAATAAACTTACATTTCCTTTCCCTTCATAACTAGGGTCATACTGGCCACGTTTTTAGGATTGGATGATGTCAGCTCATTATCCTGAGGTGGAATGTTTTATATTTCAGAGTCCAGGAGTCCCCGAAATTAAAGAGAATGGAGTCAGATGGTCAGCGTCAACTCAAGAAAGGAAGCCCGGAACAGGGTAAGAAGGACCAAGAAGCAAAGGACCCGAGGCTGAGACAGGGAGGGAAGAGTGAGGGTGCAGGGAGACAGACTCCAAACCCGGAGAGGGGAACCTGGCATTTAGGTTTGGGATGAACGGAGGGAAAAGAGGCTAGGGTTGCCAGATTCCTATCCTGGGAGATGAATGTACTCATTGCTGACAGGACAGAATGCCTGTGAAAGGGCAGAAAACGCACATCGTCCCTTACCTGTTGCCTAAGTCCACGGCCACGGTACGGGACCTGGCGCCACTCCATAGTGCTCGCACCTGCAACTGGGTGAGTGCCCGATCCCGCCCTGGCAGACGGAGGGCACTATCGCCCCGCGGCCGGAGCCGGAGGCACGAGCAGCAATGCCTGCAGGCCGCCATGACACCTAGCACGCGCTCCGCCCGGGCTGCGCTCTGATTGGCTCACTTTCAGATGGCGGGCGGAGCCTGTTCCAGTTTCGTTTCCGTGGTGCTGGGGGAACGCAGGGGACTGGAATAACTTGGCTACTTTCTACGAAAACCAGAGAGGGTCAAACCTCTGAGAACGCGATCCTGCCGGCCTCTTTTATCTGCCAATGAAAGGCAATTAGAAAAATAACGCTTGGTGTTTTCTTTTGCTATCGTAGTTTAAGAGAAAATCCTAGAATAATGTGTTTAATAAGTAGAGTAAATATAGAGTAATAATAGAAGTCATCAGAAAACATATTATTGTTATTTGGCTTCTTTGAACTGAGAATTAGGAGAACTTGTGGTGGTGCAAGAGATCTCTCTCTCCCCACTGTGCCCTGGTTTTCATTTTATAAGTTTCACAGAACAAATATATTGCTGCAAAGCTTTGTGTTCTTTTATTTCTAGTAAGTTGATTTCTCATCGACCTATATCATTTTAGATATCTTTATATCATAATTTCTGGTTCTTCTTTACTTTCATTGTTAGTATTTCTCTGCCCCTCTTGGTCAAATGTTAATATTTGCTAAGCCAACTCAATTTTGGAAAATGAAAAAAATCTTTTTGGAAGTTGAATTTGATTAATATTTAGCGAGTGGATAAATTTCTTCCACCCCCTCCTAATCCAGTCTATAGGAAAATTTTTATGTGGTCATTGAATGAACCCATGATTGTTTTTCTATTATGAGGGTCATATTTTTCTTTTAAGGTTATAACACTCTTTCCCAAAACAAATTGGAACAACAAAACCCAACACACACTCAAATATGATTTTAAGAACTAAAAATGTTGAACTCCAAACAGACAAATGATTTGGTGATAAAGTAGCTCCTTGACACCTTGCTTTTGTGATCTATTATTACTGATTTGGAATTTCCATACTAGTAGAAGGGATTACTACGAACTCTACTTATGGGTATTTAGTGTTAAAGTAGTTTTTGCCTCTTTCTCTACTTTTGATTTTACTTTATGTTGTAACAGTGTTTTCAAATCCATTGAAACCTGTTGTAACAACAAATCTATCAGAATCTACTTGCCATAATTCAACATGACTTTGGACTTATAAATTAAGAATGTGATATATCCTTTTGGTAATGTACTTAATACTGTATAACCTTTTTCATTCAGGCAGTATTGCGTAATCATTTAGAGCCGTGGTCAGCAAACTGCGGCTCTCGAGCCACATGCGACTCTTTGGCCCCTCGAGTGTGGCTCTTCCTAAGCCTTAGGAGTACTCTAAGTTAATAATAATGTACCTACCTATATAGTTTAAGTTTAAAAAATTTGGCTCTTAAAAGAAATTGCAATCGTTGTACTATTGATATTTGGCTCTGTTGATTAATGAGTTTGTCGACTACTGATTTAGAGCATAGACCTGAAGTTAGTGCTGAATAGTCCCAGTCTTGGCTGTCATTTACTAGTTGTCATCCCTATCTCTCTAAGCCTTAGTTTCCTCATCTATAGAAATGGGTATTAATATGAACTTCATAAGGTTTTTGTAAAGATTACACATAACAGAGGATGTGAGATGTTTATCACAGTACCTGGTACATTGTCAGCACTTAATAAGTGGTAGATTTGATCCAGCCTTCTCTTAATTTTTCCTCTGGTTCCCTCTGTTTGAGATACTGAACAATCTTCTTTCCTTCAGATCCCCATGGATCAGTTAGCTTTCATCCAGCTGGAAATGTTGGAAAACAGCATTTATACATTAAGCCCACCTGTTTTCTCACACCAATCAAAAATAATTGTTAGTTAATAATTGGATCATAAGCTCAAAGGCAAATGTGTGTAGACTTTTGTTATGAAGTAGTCATACAGACAATTCAAGCTACCTTCATAGTAAACATTTTAAGATTTATAGAGAAACAAAAATATTAAAAGTTTAAATTCTTGTGATTGTAACTACTGCAGCATGATCTCCAAGTCTGATTTGAGATGCCACATTCTAGAAATAGAGTTCTTCCAAATATAGCTTGACAGACAAAATATAATTTAAAAGAAATTTCTGTACCTATAACTCTTGAAGGACATTAAAGGTGATCCAATTTAAATCCACAGGCAATGTTTCTTAGCTCTCCTTTTCTCTTTACTTTAATCCAATGAACTTGCATCAAAATAGTTAAACTCTGAGTAGCAATTTTAAATAAAATATTATTACATTAAATTATTGTTAATTAAAATTTAATTTGGCTTGTAGTTTGGTTTAGACAATATATAAGGCATTTTTATATCTTGTAATATATGTACACATTTAAACAACATAATGAAAAGTATCAGTGAACACTGAGAGGGTCCATGAAAATTTTTTCTCTTGAAAGAATGCAGTGTACTTACCTCTAAGAAAGATAGCTCTACATCATTGCCAGAGGGATCTTTTTACTTTATTTTTTAAAAAATATATTTTATTGATTTTTCACAGAGAGGAAAGGAGAGGGATAGAGAGTTAGAAACATCAATGAGAGAGAAACATCGATTAACTGCCTCCTGCACACTTTCCACTGGGGATGTGCCCACAACCAAGGTAAATGCCCTTGACTAGAATCGAACCCGGGACCCTTCAGTCCGCAGGCCGACGCTCTATCCACTGAGCCAAATCGGTTAGGGCCAGAGGGATCTTTTTAAATCACAAACCTAATTGTGTCTCCATCCTGATTACATTTCTTCAATGGCTTCCTAAATCTTCATGCTACAGGATAAAATCGAAACTGCTTTCTGTGGACTATAAGCCTTTCCTATTTTGCGTCATCAATTTCGACTTACTATCTTATTTCCTTTCTTCCCTTTCCTCATTTTATATTCCAAATAAATTGAACTACCTGTTCCTCTCTAACATCCCACCCTGTCTCCTGCCTGTGTGATTCACTGTGCTTGGCCCACATACCCTCCCATGTGTCAATCAGGTCTCAGATTCAATACTATCCTTTCTTAATTCTCCAGGCTGACTTATGATACAATCTATGTCTGTCCTTTCACTTTACTGATTAATTCATATAGCCATTATTTCATCTTTGGAGAAGAATGTGGCAGTGAGTATTTCGTAGTGGTTAAAAATGTTGGCTCTGGAATGAGATTATTTAGGTTTGAAACTCAACTCTGTCACCTCTTAAACATCTTACTCTTGGTGAATTGCTTACCCTTTCTATGCCTTAGATTCCTCATTTGTAAAATAATAATAATACTTACCTCTTAGGGTTGTTATGCAGATTTAAATGCAATTTTATTTTTATGGAGCTAAGCATAGTCTCTGGTACGTAGAAATTAGGTGTTATAATACAGGGTGGGGTAAAAGTAGGTTTACAGTTGTTCATGTGGAAAATAATAAAATAATTAATAAATAATAATACAAGAATAAACTGTGTTTCACATAAAACTGTAAACCTATTTTTGCCCAAGCCTCCATTTATTTATTTATTTATTTATTTATTTATTTATTTATTTATTTATTAACTAGAGGCCTGGTGCACAAAATTCGTGCACTTGGGGGAAGGGGGAGTGTTCCCCAGCCTGGCCTGTGCCCTCTCACAGTGCGGGAGTCCCGCAAGCAATCTCCCCAAAGAGGTAGGCCCCACCCACCTGGGGCTCCTCAATGGACTGCCCCAAAGAGGTAGGCCGGAGCCAGGGGTCCTGCCTCCCCGCTGCGCACACAGCGCCATGTCCCCACCCACCATGCATGACTCGCTGCACATGCAGCCCCACCCACCTGCGTGTGCTGCTGTGCACGCAGCCTCCTGGTGATGGATTGTTAGGGCATGAGGGCATCATGGCGTGAGGGTGTGACAACCACATAGGCTTTTATTAGTATAGATAAATGTCGAGACCGTCATAGGGCATAATAATCCCTGCTTTTTGGAGCTTGCAGTCTGGTATGAGAGACTAAAAAACATAACCAAACAAATAAACAGAAAAATTAGAGTTTGTTTATAAAAAATAATGCTAAGAAGGAGATAAGCTGGGTGCTAAGATAGGGAATGGTGGGAGGAGGGAGAACTTATTTCAGATAAGGTGGTTAGGGAAAGCCTTCCTGAAGAGGAAACATTTAAGCCACCCTAAAGGATGAGAAGGAGATAGCTTCTGAAACATGCAGGCCAGGTGGGTGCAGTAACATGTGAGGGAAGGGTTACCCCTGAGTCAGTAAAGAGTTTTGCTTCTGTGAGGACAAGGAAAAGCCAATGTGGCTAGAAAAAAGTAAGCAGAAGTGTAGAGGAGATGAGATAGGAGAGGAAGGTACTGGAAAGTTGAAACAAGGAAGTAGCATGATCTAATCTACATTTTAAGATGCGCCTGCTGGATGCTGGATCCAAAATGGATTGGAGGAGGACAAGAGAGAAATGTAGAGTAATATTGTGACAAGGGTGACAAGGAGAAAGGATAGACACATTTGGAATATATATTTTAGTACTGGAATTGTAGGAGACTTGTTGATGAGTTAGACTGGGAGAGAGGACTATTATATGGCACCCTTGCCAGGTAGCTCAGTTGGTTAGAGAATTGTCCCAATACACCAAGATTGTGGGTTTGATCCCCAGACAGAGCACT